CACGGCGTGGGGGTGGCGGCTCTGTTGGGAAATCTTCACCGTATCTCCCGGTGCTCCAGTTACCCGGCTCCCGTCAGCTGCGCGCTGCGGACACCAGGGTGAGACTGCACTGCACACCCCACACCCCGTTTCCCTCACCCATGAGGTGCTTCGTGGTCAGGGACCCCCGCAGCACTGTGGAGCTGCAGCCGCGCCCCCCCTGCCTGTACCACCCCTGGCAAGAGGCCTCGTGCTGTCCTCGGTGCTCACGCACGGCCAAAACCCAGGTTTTAGTAGGACAACTGTTAGCAGAGCCCTGGTGACACAAGAGGACACCGCTGTCCCCTTCATTTGCGGTCGTTCCCCGAGCTCCCCTTTCTCTTGCAGTTTGTGCTGAAGCACAAAGAGTTCGCTCATCTCCGGGAGGTGAAGATGTTTCCCAACGCCCTCAACCCACACAAAGAGGAGTCGCGGGCACTGGTCAAAGCCATGATTGACCAGGTCATGGCACTGCACGAAGACTTAAAATGGTTTCACATCGGATGTGATGAGGTGGGACTTCTCTTGAGCCAGGGATATTTTTTTGTGAGGAATGATAGTCAGGGCCGAGGCCTCTGCATTTCGGTGGTGCCCGGGCCACTTTTGGGTAGGATTTTGGGGACAGAAGACACCAATTCAAGCCAGTGTAGAAAAGTTGTTTTGACAATAAATGATTCCAGTAGCACGGGATGTCATTTCTGTTGATGAGTGTAATATCGAAAGTATTGAAAGCTGTTTCTTAAAGCTAACTCAGCATTTGGCTTTAGCTCAAATGAGTATTTAAAGTGAGGTATCAGTTAGAGGTATTCATTAAGAATCATGTGAGTTTTGGTGTAAGATGTTGGCTCATTGTTCTGGCTAACTTACTCAAAGTAAGCCCTTTTGTGGTGGGAAGTGGGTTTTTTTTTTCTCTCGGTAGTTTGGCTCCTTGAGGAGGAGAACCTTGAGTTTTCTCCTTTCTCAGGGTTTCTTAAAACCAGCCCCGTGGCATGCAGAACCCTGAAATTCATTGTGATCACCTTAACTGTACTGATACTAGTTTAGCATTTTGAATCCTGTTGTTTGGGAACAAAGGGCAAGGTTAGGTAGGGACCTGCAAACTTTTGTAAAGCAAATTACTATTTATGTAGAATAAACGTGTTTTGGATAAAACCTGCTCTAAAACAACAAAGAGTTTAAATGCATATCCAGCTTAACAGGCCCAAATCCACTTTCTGCATAGGACCAAGTACGCTGGGGCCACTCTTGGACATGGCCCCAAGTCACTTCTAGATTCACGTATAAATGATCTCCTTCCCCAAGACAGGAACCTCATTTTATATAATTCAGGACCTTATGGGTTGCTAGATTTGAACTGAGTAAAACTGGTGAGAGCTACTTCCAAGGACAAACCTTCCAAAGACAACTACGGCATGCTTTAATTATTCTTTAGCTATTTTAGTTTCTATAGGAAAATTCCCTTACGTGATGCATTTAGTCAGGGCCAGAGTCTCCTACAGACTGATAGAAATGCTTGCAGTGTCTTCAACACCGAGAGGTGCTTTTGAATATGTCCACTCAGTGGGTCACGTCTTTGCAATAGGTTTTGAATATTGTATGATTTCACGACACTGTGTCAGACTCGCTCCCCCTCATCCTATAAAAGAAGTCAGGATTACTTGTTTGATGCTTCAGGTCTACTACCTCGGCGAAGGAGAGGAGTCAAAGCAATGGCTGCAGCAGCAAGACAACACTCCAGAGAAGCTGTGCTTATCCCACATAAAAGCAGTAGCAAGCTGTGTGGCCTCATCTTATCCCACTGTGACACCCATCGTGTGGGATGATATGCTCAGAGGGATAAGTGAGGAAACACTGGCAGGTGTGTGACCAGTGATGGGGTGAGTCATATTTTGTAGCATACAAAAAAGTTTACGCAACCAGTTAAAACAGATTGGTTGGCAGATGAAAATAGTGAAAACAAGAAATCTGAGAATAGTTGAGATACGATCCATTAGACTAGAGAGTAGACATTCAGTCCTTGGCTATGTCACGGACTTTCTATATGACTGTGGGCAAGTCTCAACACAAACACTTTAGTTTTCCAGCTGGTAATACACAGTGACAAACAAAACAGTCATCAGGCAGTGGTTGCCATCAATTCTACTTTCTTTACGCATTAAAAAGCAGCCTATTAGCATTTGTGGTCTCAGCCTAAATTTCTGTGCCTTTCACCACCTTTTAATGTCAGTTGTTGCTCTGTGCAGCATCTGGTTCCGGTGGTGCAGACTCACACAGAGAAGCTGCGACCCTGTGGGCGTCTTTGACAGTATAGGTGATCACAGCGCCCATCATGAGGAGCTCCGATACTGAATTGTGGGATAGCTCCAAGAACCTGACGTCACGAGTCTTGTTTG